CCGCCTCCTTCATGCCCCCACCTCCGGGGCAGGCGGGGGGCGGGGGGGGATCGGGCCCACAACTTGGACATGTGTCCTGACCGGGAATCAAACCATTGACTTCTTGGTGCATAGGTTGACACCCAACCAGTGAGCCATTCCAGCCAGGCCACAGTATTCATTTAAAGTACAAATGTGTATTTGATACATTAATTATGAATTATTTTCTAGCATGGAGTTTTGGCTGAATATCTCAGAATAATTCTCAGGCTGAGATCAAATTATCTCCCTCTATTTCCCCACTACCACCACCAAGGTCGGGGCAGAGAATAATATAATCGAAATCTCAGTTGATCTTGTACTATTAACAATAGTACAGATGTGGTCTCCCTTACTGGACACTAAGTTTTTTTCCCAGAGAGTGTCTGTACATCAATGTGTATAGATATTTTAGTTAATATAGGTAATTCTGTATTAAATTTAGTGAAAAGGGTTTCTTAGTTGGCTGTGTAGACTTTATTCAAGCAGGATGTTATGAGCATTTTTAAGGATGTGGCAGTCTTGGTATTGAGAAAACCTGCTCAAATAAATCAATGAAGTGTTTAAGAGTGACTATTGGTACATGTCTTTAGAAAGATCCCTACCACAGATCAGAAGATTGCAGAAAAGGTACACCAGCTTGCAAGGACAGTGTTACTTCTGTGACTTATAACTTGGTCAGGAAAGGTGGAATTTTTCAGCTCTAGATTTAGTTATCTTTGAACTGGAGTAACCATTATAACTTGAATGCAGTTCATTTGTGTTTTAAATATAATTCTTAGGGCTTTGATTTGTAGTTTTATTTATTGGTTTTTAGAGTAAGGGAGAGAGAGACATCAACTAGTCGTCTCCCACACGTGTCCTGACTGTGGGTCGAACCTGTAACCTGGGTATGTGCCCTATCTGGGAATTGAACCCGCCACGTTTTTGGGAGCAAGGGGTATTGGTGTATGGAAGGCTGCTTCGATTAAGTGAGCCGCACCCACCAAGGATGATTTTTATAAAAAGTTGGAAGACCCAAGTGTTTTCTGAAATGTTAGTACTAATGAGTTTATTCAAGCAGGATTCAGAGGTAGGTTTGTATGACTAAAGAGCCCATCCTCTTAATCGTTAAGCCATTCTACTTTTTGTTCCTTAACAAAACTCAGTGTTTGATTGAAAATACATTTTCTCTATCCTAAAGTGATCATTTAAGATAGGTGTATATCTTAATGATAACTTATGTTAGGGATCTGAGGTGGCTACTGTCTAAAGAGTCAAAGGCTTACTACCTAGATTTATTTTTCAATTTGTTTTTAATCTGTAGCTTAATTTATACATTTAATTAGTTTTTTTTTTTTTTTCCTACAGTTGGAGCAGTTCTTGTTTGGACATGTAGTAGTCAATGGTTATGGATTATCAAATTGCCTCAATGCTGTAGCAATTTACTAGAGAACCAAAGTCTTCCTACCTTAAGCTCAAACTCTTTTTTAGCCACTTTTTGTGGAACTATTTCTTAAATACACTACTTTTCAGCTTTTTAAGATATGCACCCTGTACGGTCTCAGTTACTGATTTGGGAAAGATCCTGGGTTGGTACCTTTGCACCATCAGCTCACTGGGGTTGTAGGTACAGACTTGGTATGTATAAGGAGGGTCGCAAATTGTTTTTCTTAAAGATTTCCTTGCATTTTAGACATTTGTATATCAAATAGTTAAAGTTAAGAATATGTACAACCTGGACACTGAGTGATGTCCAGGGGCTTTCTTCCCGTCTAAAACTATCTTTGACCAATTTTTCTAGTTAGATTAAAACTTCTGGCACTCAGTACTCATGTTTCCCTCTCATATTGTTTGTTTTTGGCTCTTCTACAAAGACCCTTTGCTATTTCAAGTTCTGGTGCTATATGTTTGGATAGGGCTTATTTCAGCACCTAAGACTTCTCTCCCATTCATTAATGACACATTAGTAGCCATGTTAAACAGGCCATAATACCTGTTGAACACTCAGAATTTGCTTTCAAAAGAATTGTAGGAACAAACCTTTAAAAACATTTTTTAAAAACAATTTCATTTGCATTAAAGAGATGTAAGCCAAAACATACTGCTTTCACTTTGGCAATTAGGTTATACTCTTGTGAGGATGTAGAGAAACACTGTTGGGAATTTTTAAAGTTTTTTTTTTTATTCAAGTGTAAAACTACATTAAAAATGTACAGTTTATTCATTTTGACACAGAACACCGTTTAGTGACTACTCAAATCAAGAAATAGAACGGAGTCAGTATCTAGGAGACTTCATGCTCTCAGTGATTACCCCTGCAACTAGTCACTATCTTGATCGCCACTGATCAGTTTTGCCTCTTTTTAAATTTGGTGTTAATGGAATCGTGCAACTTCTTTTTCTCTCTCAACATTGTATTTGTGGGGTTAGTCCATGTCATTACCTAGTAAAAGTGTGCTTCATGGCTTTAGTATTCTGTTGTGTTCATATACACTATGTATTCTGTGGATGGGCACTGGGTTACAGATTAATGGATGTTACAAATAATGTTGTGGACATTCCTACATATGTCTTTTGGTATATACATGTATACATTAATGTTGCATATATACCTAAGAATGGAATTATTGCAAAACAGTCCTGGTAGAGTATGATAGTCCCATTTACTCCACATCCTCACTGGCATTTAATAGGGTCACTATTTTTAGCTGTTGCATTCTGGTGAGATTGTCTAGTAGTATCTCATTCTTATTTAATTTGCATTTTCCTGATGATTAATGAGAACACTTTTATAGGATTTATTGGACATTTGGATACTTTATTAAATACTCACTTTTGTCTGTTTTTCTGTTGGGTTGTCATTGATTTTTACTAAGTTTATAATTTAGGAAGAGGATGTCTTTGCTGCTGTTAATTGCAATTACCTCCTCATTCTGTGCCCTGCTTTTTCATTTTAATGGCATTTTTTGATGAACAGGAGTTCTTAATTTTGATATAGTTCAGTTGGTCCACATTTTTCTTTAAGTGCTTTATATGTACTATACTATTTAAGAAATAGTTGCCTACCCCAAAATCATTAATTTTTTTTTTTTTATGTGCCCCTAGTGGGAACTGAACACGGGACTCTCTGGTCCACAGGCCAACGCTCCAGCTGCTGAGCCAAACTGGCCAGGGCAAAATCATTAATCTTTTATATTGTTTTTCTAAAAGCATTGTTTGACCTTTCATATGTAGATCTAGAATAGTCAAGAGTTTTTATTCATGATAATATTTTTTCCATATAGACATTCAATCAATCCAGCACCATTTATTGTTCCATTGGTCTATTTGTCCTAGTGCCGGTGCAACACTAGGTTCAAATAATTCAATATCTGGTAGTGGGTGTCCTCCATTTTTTTGTAGTTCAAGACTGTATTGATTATTCTTGGCACTTTGCTCTTTTATATACATTTTAGAATCAACTTGTCAATTTCAGTAATAGAACAGTAAGAAAAAACCTGTTGGGATTTTGACTAGGATTTTATTGAATCTATAATAAATTTGAGAATTAGCATCTTTATATAATTATGTCCTTTAATTCATCAATACAGTATATCCCTCCACTTATTTAGATCTTTAATTTTTTTTTTTCAATAATTTTTTTCTCTGTAGAGGTTTAGTACCTTTTGTTGGGCTTATTTCTAAGTATTTGATTTTTTGGTGTTATAAAAAGTTTAATTTTATTTTCAAATTGTTGCAACTTATAGCAATATTAATTGACCTTGTATTTCATGACCTTGCTAAATTAATTTATCCTAAGTATGATGTAGGTTCTGAGACAGGCTTTTAAGAGGATTATTTGACCCTATAAATGTAAGTTTTAAATGCATGTACCCCTTGCTTGTGTGTATATGCACACAAATATATGTAAAATATTTTCATTTCAGCATTATAGTAGCAAATTAGAAATGAACTAAATGCCCATCAATCATGGTACATCCTTACTACATATACTAGGTTGCTGTTATTTTAAAAATGAGGTAAATTATTTCTAATATAGAAAGATATTTGCATATAATGGTAAATGAGAAAAGTTAAGATAACATGTACAAAAGAGGAAAAATATTCTGTATGTGTATTTGCCTATCGTTAGCAAATTTCTGAAAGATATACTTAAAACTTTTCATTAAAAAACAGCTTTATTGAAATAAAGTGCATGCATATAAACTATACAGTTTAGCCCTGGCCAGTTTGGCTCAGCAGAGTGTCAGCCCACAGACCATAGAGTCCCGGGCTCAGTGTCCACTAAGGGCATGTACCTAGGTTGCAGTTTGTCCTTAGCTCCTGTTGGGGTTGTGTGGGTGGCGACCACCTGATGTGTCTCTCTCACATCAATGTTTCTCTCCCTCCCACTCTATCAGATCATAAATGCAAAAAAAACCAAAACCCCAAAACAAAAAAATTACACAGTTTAAGTTTTGGAATATGTGGACACCTGTAAAACCATCATTGTAACAGCAGCATTCACCGTCAAAAGTGTCCTTGTTGTACTTTGTAATTTCTTCCCTCATCCCCCAAGCAACCACTAACTGGCTTTCTGTTATTTTACCTCATTTTGCATTTTCTGGAGTTTTATATAAATGGCATGGAGTATATTCTTTCTTTTAAGGAGTTGTGTCTGGCTACTTTCACTCAACATAATTGTTTTGAAGTTCATTCATCTTGTATGTATCAATAGTTCATTCTTTTTGTTGTTGAGAAGTATTCTATTGTTATGATATACCACAATTTGTTTATTCACCTATTGATGAACATTTGGGTTGTTTATAGTTTTTGTCTGTTACAAATAAAGCTGCTATGAATGTTTGTGTACAAGTCTTTACGTGAGCATATATTTCCCTTTTTTGTATGTGGATAAAAGTAGGAGTGGAATGGTTGGGCAGTATGGTAGGTATATTTTAGTTTTTTAAGGAACTGTCAAATTGCTTGATGAAGTGATTGTACCATTTTACATTTCCACCAGCAGTGTCTGAAAGCTCCTGTTCTTCCACATCCTCTCCAGCACTTGGTATGGTCAATCCTTTAAAATTTTTCATTCCACTAATATGGTGGCATTTCATTGTGTGTTTAATTTGTATTAAAAATGTTTTTTTTTTAATATTTTTTAAATTGATTTTAGAGAGAGAGGAAGGGAGGGGGAGAGAGGGAGAGAAACATCGATTGCATGCCCCCCCTCTGGGGATCGGGCCCACAACCTGGGCATGTGTCCTAGCCAGGAATGGAACTGGTGACCTCTTGGTGCATGGGACAATGCTCAACTAGTGAGCCACACCGGCCAGGCTAATTTGTATTTTTTTTTTTTTATCCTCACCCAAGGATATTTTTCCATTTTTTGTACAGATAGAGTGGGAAGGAGAGAGAGAGTAAGGGAGAGAGAGAGAGAGAAACATCGACGTGAAGGGACACATCGAGTGGCTGCCACCCGCACGACCAACCAGGGCCGGGGACAAACTGCAACCGAAGTATGTGCCCTTAGCGGGAACCAAACCCGGGTCTCTCCGGACCGCAGGCCGACGCTCTAACCGCTGAGCCAAACTGGCCAGGGCTAATTTGTATTTTTTAATGACTAAAGATGTTGAACATCTATTTATGTGATTTGCCATCCATATATCCTATTTTGTGAAGTGTATGTTATAATAATGAGTCTTCTGATTCATAAATAAGGTATCTCTCTAATAGTTCAGGCCTTCTTTAATTTCAGCAATATTTTACACTATCTCACTTTTGTCAGATATATTCTTTATTTCATAATTTTTGATTGTGTAAAAATTCCTGCTTTTTAAAATTCAACTTTTGATTGCTTATTGCTAGTATATGGAAATAAAATTGATATTTGTGTATTATCTTGTATCCTGCAACCTTGCTAAACTCTCTTCTTAGTTCTAGTAGTGGTGTGTGGGGTTTTTTTTGTAGCTGTCATCAGATTTTCTTCATAGAGAATCATATTGGATGTGAATATAAAGATTTAACTTCTTCAGGCTAGAGAATTTTTGTTTATCTTTCCTGATTGCACTGGCTGGAACCTCCAGTGCAATGCTGAATAGAAGTGATAAGAGCAGACATCCTTGTATTGTTCCTGATCTTAGGGAAGAAAGCATTGTCTTTCACTATTAAGTTATGATGTCAGCTGAAAGTTTTTCATAGATGCCCATTATCAGGTTGAGGAGTTCACTAGTATTTTTAGTGTGCTGAGAGGAGTTGTCAGGAATTGGAAGTTAAATTTATCAAGTGCTTGTTCTGCATCTAATGGGATGGTAATATGGATATTTGTTTTTAGTTTGTTAATATAATGAATTACATTTATTGCCTTTTGGACATTAAAACCAATCCTGGGATAAACTCCAGTTCTATATTGTCCATTAAATTATTTTTGGATTTGGTTTACTAAAATTGTGCTTAAAAAATGTTTGCACATATGTTCTCTCTCCCATTTTTTTCGTGTGGGAGGCAACCAAAAATTTTTGGTGGCCTTGCTTCGGCAAAAAAAAAAAAAAATGTTTGCATATATGTTCATGAGCCTATGCCTGAAATTTCTGGGGTGATGAAATGTTCATAACACCAAACATTTTTCTTCTCTGGCACTAAGGACAAGATACAACAGTTGATAGTTATAGATCTTCAAGATGGAATGGAAGAACACTTGAATGGTAAATATGAAGGTAAATATAAAAAACCTATTTCCCAGTTTTTAAAAAAATCTTGTGTTTAAAGCAAAAACTAGGTTTATGTTGTGGGGTTAATAATATATGTAGGCACATCATATATGCTAACTGTATGACAGGAGTCAGCCAGAGGGTGGTAAGTTGTTCCATTTTATTTCCATTCTGATTTCAAAACTTATTACAAAGAACACTAATCAAAACACTGGAACTGGCATAAGGACAGACATATAAACCAATGGAATAGAATAGAGAGTTCAGAAATAAGCCTTTACATATCTAGTTTGTTGGTTGGTTTCTTTTTTATTTTTGTTAATCCTCACCCGAGGATACTTTTCTATTTATTTTTTAATCATTTTTATTTATTAATTTATTTATTCTCCCTGAGGACATTTTTGCATTTATCTTTTTTTTTTTTTTAATCCTCACCCAAGGACTTTTTGGGGTTTTTTTTTGCATGTATTTTCAGCTACAACGGGAGGGAGAGAGGGAGGAAGAGAGAGAAACATCGATGTGAGAGAGACACATCGACTGGCTGCCACCCGCACAACCCCAACCAGGGCCCGGGACAAACTGCAACTGAGGTATGTGCCCTTAGCAGGAACTGAACCTGGGACTCTCTGGTCCGCAGGCTGATGCTTTAACCACCAAGCCAAACCGGCCAGGGCTTCATTGATTTTAGATAGAGTAGAAGGGAGGAAGGGAGAGAGGGAGAGAGAAACAGTGACATGAGAGACACATTGATTGGCTGCCTCCTGCACGACCCCAACCAGGGTCAAGAATTGAACCTGAGACCCTTCAGTCCAAGAGCTGATGCTCTAAATGCTGAGCCATACTGGCCAGGGCAAGTTCGTTGGTTTTTTTAAAACAGAGCCTGAGGAAAGGACAATCTTGGACAAATGGTGCTAGGAAAACTGGATGTCCACATGCAAAAGAATGAAGTTGAACCTGACCATGAAAATGAGTGAAAAACAAACTTAAGGGCAAAAGCTACAAAACTCTTGGAAGAAAATGGGAAAACCTTCATTGCATTGGATTTGGCAGTGATTTCTTTTTTAAAATATTTTTTATTGATAGATTTTGGGGGGAGAGAGGGAGAAACATTGATTTGTTGTTCCACTCATCCATGCACTCATTGGTTTCTGCTTGTTTTTTAATCCTCACCTGAGGATATTCTTCCATTTATCATTAGATAGAGTGGGAGGGAGGGAGAAAGAGAGACATTGCTATGAGAGAGACACATCAACTGGTCTCCTCCCCCTTGACTCATTGGTCCATGGGCTTATGCTCTAACCACTGAGCAAAACCGGCCAGGGCATTGGTTGCTTCTTGTATGTGCCCTGACCAGAGATTGAACCTGCAACCTTGGCAGATAGGAATGACACTCTAACCAACTGAGCTACCTGGCCAGGGTGGCAATGATTTCTTGATATGACAGCAAAAGCAAAGAAAACAAAAAATTGTCTTTATCAAAATGAACTTTTGTGCATCAAAGGACACTATCAAATGAGGAAAAAGACTATCCATGGAATGGAAGAAACTATTTGTAAGTTGCATATCTGAAAAGGGGTTGATATCCAGAATATATAAAGATCCACAAGTCAACAAAAAGTCAAATAATTACAGAACAGGCCGACTTTAAAAGACATTTCTCCAAAGGAGATACACAAATGGCCAATAAGCACATGAAAAGATGCTCAACACCACCACTTAGTAGGGAAATGAAATCAAAACCACAAGGAGCTACCACTCCACACTCAGGATGGGTGTTTATAAAAACAAACAAAAAATAATGTTTTGGTGAAGATGTGGAGAAAATGGAACTGTGGTAGGAAGTATAATGTAGCTGTTGTGGCAGTTTGGTGGTTCCTCAAAAAGTTAAACATAGATTCATGTCCCAGCAACTCCATTCCTAGGTATGTACCCAAATAACTGAAAACAGGGACTCAGATACTTGTACCACAATGTTCCTAGCAGTATTATTCACAATAGCCAAAGGATGGAAACAACCCAAGTGTTCAACAGACGAATGGATGAACAATGAGGCATATCCATGCAATGGAATATTATTTAGCCATAAAAAGGAGCAAAGTTCTGATACGTGCTACAACATGGAGGAAACTTGAAAATATCATTTCAAGTGAGAGAAGCCATACATAAAACAACAAATACATGATTCCAGTTACACGCGGTACTTAGAGTAGGCAAATTCAAAGAGAAAATAAAATAGAGGATACCAGGAGCTGGGTGAGGGGCATTTATTTAATGGATACAGAGTTTCTGTTGGGGTTGATAAAGTTCTGGAAATAGATAGTGGTGATGGTTGTACTACTTTATGAATGTACTTAATGTCACTGAATTGTAAACTTAAAAGTGGTTACAATGATAAATTTGATGTATATTTTATAAATATATATAACATTGAAAATAAAAAGGATTGCACTGTACACTCAATTCTAATCCTTTGTTCCCTCCACTGTCACACCTTTCCAAGATACTTGTCATGCTCCCAGTTAAAATGGAAATGACTGCCAGACTTTCTAACCTTCAGATGGATCGTAATGGCATTTATTCACTCTTTGTTGATCATTTACGTCATCTTTTTTTTTTTTTCTTCAGTGTTTTGCTCTTGGCTGTTTACTAGCCTTTGCTTTTTTCAATGGTTTCTGCCATAGTATAGTGTGGCACTGGCTTCAGTCCCTTCTTTCCCTTGGTTGACACCTCCTTCCTTCTTTCCCACTGGCTCAGGGACTTCTTGTGAAAGACATATTTGATCCTGTGTGCCTTGCCCACAGCCATGGTGTTACTATGTGACCTCACCCACTGGCCCTTCAACCCATGGAGGTGAGTTGGAACCTGGAACGAGCCATTTCTCTCTGGAGAGGCTAAACTAAGAGTCAACAGTCATCCCCAGGTAGGTGTGGGGAACCAAGCTGAAAGCCACCAGACTTGGGGCTGAGGCCACCATTTTGGGTCATTTATGTGCTGATGAATTGGCTGAGCAAGTGTGCTGAGGCAAGAGGGTGCAGGAGGGTGCAGAAGGGGAGAGGAGAACCCAGGAGGCCCTCTTGGTTTCCCAGTTCTCTGATTCCCATGATGCAGTAAGTTTACATTGGCTCGCAGCTGGCCCCTGGGAAGCCACATCTTTCCCAAATAGATCTTGCCTTGCTGGGGCCAGGAGACACAGGGAAATTGGGCTTGTGACAGATGGGAGCCCACTGGGCAAAGATGAGTACTGCATTTGATTAATACAGACAAGGACCCAGAGTGAGCCCTGGGAAATCTTTCCTGGCTAGTTCTGGGAGCAAGGGACCTGGTGGGACCTGAGTCTTCCACTAGGGCCTGGTAACACCATCTGCTTCATCCAGCAGCGTATCGTAGAAATTAAGAGAGTATGAATTCTGGAGCCATAAGGCTTGGGTTCAAATCCCAGCTCAGCTCCATAATTACCATTGAGCATGCTACTCTGTTTCTCAGTTTTCCCATCTGTAAAGTGGGGATTCAAACAGTGTTGTAATGCTGAGGATTAAGTGAGTACAATTCTAGAGCAGTCGACTGTCTTACTGAGAGCTCTCTGTGCGCGTCAGTGCCATGAATATTGTAACTGGCACCTTCTCTCAGGTACCTTTTGTTTTTGTAGACTCCCTGCTGAAGCAGCAGAGGAACTAATTACCTGTCCCCAGATGGTCCTCTTGTTCTCCCTCTGTGCTCAGGCCTTGTGCTCAGGGCAGACATGTGGGGTTGCTGCCTGCATTGTGATGGAACATCTAGGGGGAGAGCAGAGTTTCTGGAGGAGGCTGCTCACCATAGCCTCTGCTTGTGCTGGAGCACCCTGGGGGGTTGGGGACTGCTCCAGGGTGTCCTCGTGAACAAGCAGTGTCCTGCCCAGGTCTCAGTGTCCACAGAGGGCGGTGCTACTCCTGGGAACCACGTGTGCCCAAGTCCTGCTCACCTGTCCCTGCCTCTCATAGCCCACAGGCTGAACTCAGCCCTGTCAGGCTTGCCCTTGGCGCGCCCTCATTTTGCACCCGTCTTAGACTTGTTCTGTACAGTTTTCCTGGCTGGGAGGTGGTCCGTTTAAGTCTCAGACAGAGTCTAGCACAGTGCTTGTTTATACATCGGCACACCTTAGCGTTAGCGATCAGGATTAATACTGCAGTGCTGGCTGCCCTGGACGATGAGTCTGCTGCCTTGTCCCCATTGCTTCTGGCCCTGTGCGTTGGGGACACGCCCCTCCTGGTGTGATTTGTTTCTAGACCTCTCTTCAGCCCCAGCCTGGAGCACTCTCCCTGGGGATTGGACACTAGGAAAGCCATACCTTTGGCCATCCTGGGCTGTCACTTCCCCCGGAGCCCTGAGTGTGCAGTGGAGCAGTGGCTGGCTTTCCGGACCCGTCTGCCTCTGCAGCTTCCCCGAGGCCTGTTCTTGCCATTCCTTTTCTTCCTTTGCCCCTCGGCCTCTCAGCTTTCCTTCTCTTTGTTTCTCCTCTCTCCTTCCAGTCTGCCTGCCTCCCTTTGCCCCCTCCTCTCATTCTCCCCCTTTCTCTACCCTGTGGTACTGGGGTCCTTTCTCATCTGTACTCCTCCAGGGGATAACAGGAATCTTGTGCACCTATCTGGGCTTAGACCCAACATATAATCACATGCTCCAGACACATGGATTTGGCTCCTTTCGAACTGTCCATGGTGGCAGCTTTCATCCATTCATTCTACAAATGCTTATTAGAGGGCTACGCCATGCTCAGTCCGGGCCTGGAGTTACTGGGGTAAATAAGAAAGATGTGGCCCCGACTCTCATGAGGTTAGTGAGGGGAGAGAGGAATGAGCAAATACACATGATTTTGTTAAGTGCCATGAAGGAAAAAAAAACAGGTGATGTGGGAGAAAATGACAGGTCAATGCAGGCCTCAAAGAGAGGTAACACTTGAGTTGGGACCTAGGTGATCGGAGCACTAGGCAGTGCTCTTTGTCAAAATTAACAGCTTCTGATCCTGGTTAACGTAAGCAGAAAAGGAGTGCACTGGAAGGAATGCATCCGGTAGTTCAGAGAATGGGTGGGAGGCCTGGAAAATCAGGCTGGCACAGAGGTGGTTGCTAAAGGAGGCTGGTGGCCAGAACCTTGACCAGTCATGTCTCGGCAGGCTCTGTTAGGACCCAGCTGCCACTGCTCTGGATACCGGATACCATTTCGACGTTGAGCCCTGAACTCATTGGCATACCACCATGAGACCTTCAAACAGGGACTGATCACCTGCTGCAGACCATAGGTTTGTTCTCTGCCTGGTGGCCTGTTAGAAACAGAATCAGCTTCCATCTCCTGCAGAATGAAAGCTGTCTTTATAAAGTCCTACTTGGTCTGGTCTCCTGTACCCCTGTATCCTCATCTATCACTCTTCCCTTGACACACCCTGCTCCAGCCACATGGGCCTCCTTGCAATTCCTGTCACTCCAAGCCTGTTCCCATCTATAGGGGCGTTGGCTGTTCCCTTCACTTGTAACACTCTTCCCCTAGTATTCCCATGACTCCCAACCTCACCCCATCCAAGTCTCAGCTTAGAAGTCATCTTCTCCAGCAGCTCCTCCGATCTCCCTACGTAAGCCCAATCAACCCAGCCCACATGGTTTCCTTACGCCCATTTCTTAAATCTTTTAACATATTATATTTACTGTTTATTGATTATCCTGCTGATAAATTGCCCGGAAGCCTAGACCAGTACTTGGTACTCAAGTTAATACTCCACAGCTGTTTGTGGCTGGGCGGTTGATAGCATGGCATGCAGTTCCTTGTGTAAAAAGTACTGGGACCCATGACTTGAATTATGGTTCTTTCACTTACCAGAGATTCAACCTCTCTGAACCTCAGTTTTTCTCATCTGTAACATGGGAACCTACCTCAAATGGATTCTTGGTGATGAGTCAATGAGAAAATGTGCTGCATAAGCCCCAGTAGCCATTTTCTTCTTTTTTCCTGCCGGCCCATTCAAATCTATTATTAAATGATCTTCCAAGCCAATATGATCGCAATGAACGTTTCCATTTACTTTGGATTATTATGTCATTATAAATATTAACAAATAAGACTTAAAAAGGACACCTTCGGGTAGGTCAGACGAAAGTACAAAAATTGAGTGTGGGGCTGCAATTTAAGGACGGTTTCTGCAGCCATCACATGGTAGCAAAACGGTGTTAAGCAGTGCACGAGAGTCTGCGTCGACGACAGCCAGAGTCCATGCATCGAGAGGTTCTCGGTTGGGAAGGAACGAAGACTGGACATGCACGGGCCGGGAGGTGCAGTTCCTGCTCTCGCCACTAGAGGTCAGGAGATTACCGCTTCAGGGTTGGAAGACGGGCCCGTCGGGGATTGGCTAGTGCTGGCGGTGGGTGGGACACCAGGAAGGGAGGTGGTGGAGGTGGATGCCTCGCAACGGGAGACCCCCATTACTGACACCTGACTTTGGAATGACTTTTTTTTTTTTTGGTGTCAAATTTCCCATCTTTGTGGATCTGATGGATCAGAGGAAAGATGCCAGTTTGGGGTCAAAGGCAGAGCTTTATAGCTTCTTAAAGAGCTTTTTCTGTAACAGAGACAATCTGCAAGTGGTCTGGAACAGTGCCAGGGTTTTGGTGAAGGTCCTATCACTCCCTGGAGGCCCTCCTGCCCAAGCGCCCCATCCTCCACAGAAGCCCTGCCTCCCTCTGGTCAGCTGGGACCATCTTTCAGGGCCAAGGCTGTATTTGCACAGTCTGGGCAGTAGAGGGCCCTGGACTGGGTGCTAGGAGTCCTGGGTCCTTGTCCCAGCTGGGCCTCAGTTTCCCCAGGTATCTGATAAGGAAGTTGTAGTAGGTAGATCACAGCCCCTTCTAGCTTTGCCATCCAGAATTTCCATGTCTTCACAGAGAGGCTGTGAGTCTCCTCAGAGGCCCTCCAAAAGGCAAAGTTAGGAAGATACCCAGAGCTCACCCAGACACAAGGGTTGTGAAGATTCATTAAGACGGCACATGTAAAACTCAACACACACAAAGCCTTCTTAAGGATGGAAAACCAAGGGTCCATGACCAGCGAAGGTTACCAGGTGCTGTGTGAGGACTGGCGTTCCAAGTTCCCTGCAAACTGGGAAAAGGCTGATGGGCACTTGGTGGGATCCACATCATCACCCCAGGCCTCAGATGGTGGTGTGCTTTGTGTTTGCAGCAGAAGGTCCAACCCCTGTGCCCCCGGGAGCCCTGCTGCCAGTGTTGGTGTGTGTGGGCAGCAGGCGGGGAGAGCCCTAGGCCAGCAGCTAGCAGGACCGCTGTGTGTGAGCCCAGCACCTTACTGCCCCTGAAGTGTGGGGCCCAGGGCTCCGGGCGGGGGTTGGGCAGGGGCCTGGAGCTGGTCTGCCCTAGCTGTGGTAAGGCTGCAAAGCCTTGGGCAGGTAGGTCATTTCCCTCTCTGGGCTCCCTTTCTCGTCAGTGCAGTGATGGCTGAACCCGTAAATGCCTTGGTGATGCATCTGTTCATCCAGGATTCCTGAAGACCCCTTGCTAAGCAGGAAAAGTCTGGTGCTTCAGACCTGGGCCCCAATCCCTCAACCCCCTTTTGGAGACCCTGACTCAGGGTACAGACCGGTGTTTCCTCTTAGCTTCCCCAGAAACAAGGCCCTGGACTGTTGCCCAGTATTCCTGAGAGGGACATCAGTGGCCACAGTAGGGCCAGAATAAATGGGCAACCATCTGGGGTCCCCCCACTACTCAGCCCCAAGCCCAGAAGGCCTAGGTGGGGGCGGGGGTCAGAGGAAGAGACCAGGAGGGTGAGGACAAGGAGGAATCTTTGCTTCTTTTCATGCAAAACAGGGGACCCTTTTCTGTTCTGACTACAGCTGACCTGACGCTGGGAAGAATGAGAGGCAGGATCCATCCTCCAGATTCCTCAGGAGGAGAAAATGATCAAAGGTGAGCAAATGGGCTGAGGACTGAACTTGACCCTGCACCAACATCAGTTTCACAACAGGGCTGTCACTTCCTCCACAGCTGTGAGCCCAGGCTGGCCTGGCAGCCAGGGATGGGGAGGGAGCAGGGCTGGGTGCCATCACTCCTGGGCCCCACTCCCTTCCTAACAAACCCTGCCCCCCAGAGAAACCCCAGGTCCCTCACAGTGCCCCTGACCCAACACCCCTCCCTTCCAAGCCTCTGCAGACCATTCCCACTGCCTGCACTGCCCTTCCCCTGCCGAGACCCCACTGCCCTTCAGGCCTTGCTGCAGCAGGGCCCCTCTGGGAAGCCCTCCTGCCCTCTGCGTCCCCGCAGTCAGCAGAGTGCATAGCACTGGCAGGTGGGCCACGCTGGCCTTGGCATTCCTGACCCCGTTGTCATGGTTTGTTTCCAGCTCCCTGACTAGCCGGGGAACTCCCTGAGGGCAGGCCCTGGGTTTCATTTATCCCCAGGGGCTTGTGAAATAATCGAGGGAAGAATTTGCCAAGAGCCCACGTTCACTGGGAGCTTCTGGGAACTTCACTAGACTCCTGGCTCTCAGGTCAACTTTCTTCCACCCTCCCAGTAATGCCAGAGATGGACGGACGAAGGCAGAGTCCTGTCCCCAATCTCCTCCCCCACGCCCCTCTTCCTAGCGTCTCTCTCCGGAGTTCCCACTGGCCCCACCAAGGTGCCCTGCCCTCCTGTTCTCTCAGCCTGGGTCCCCTGTGACTTACTGCTGACCTCTAGTAGGGTTCTTGGCCCCTGGGCAGCCGCATTCCTGTCCCCGGGGTGGGTGCTGAGGCCAAGCTCCTCCCCCGCCTCGGGCCCCCTCAGGCCCTAGGGGCTGAGAGCAGGCCTGGCCCTGGTCCTTCGGAGTGGCTGGGTCCTCCACGGCCTCCAAGAGGGGGCTGCAGTGGTCCTGTGTCCGAGTAGGTGTCCTGGATCTCCCCCAGTGTGGGGCTGAGGCCCTTGGTGGCAGCTGAGGAAGCCCAGGGCCAGGCCTGTGTGGGGCCAGTGACAGCAAGGGCAGGTGCAGTGGAGGGGGGCCGCTCAGTCGCTGAGCACGGCCCCCGGGAGTTCGTTGGTGAGCGTGTGCCAGCGTTCAATCCGCTTGTCCTTGTTCTTCAGGCAGTCAAACCAGTGCTTCAGGCGCTCGCCCTTGGCATTGATGCCCAGAACCACACCACCTGCAGGAGGGGAGTCGCGGGGCAGCCAGGGGCCTGGGGCAGGTGTTCCCATAGGTCCTCCCTCTGCAACCAGTGCCCCCACCCCCTCAGGTTCCACGCTCCACCTTGCCCACTGGCTCTAAGAGTGGACAGGGGTCTTACTGCCGTGCCACACTCCTGTCCCCCAGCCCAGGGCCCGGGGATCCTGCCCTCCTCTACCCAGGACCAGAGCAGTGCTGGGCAGAGTGCAGTGGCACATGTTAGGGGCCAAGGCAGGGGGACAAAAAAGAGCAAGAAAGGGCCCCGGCGGCTCTACTGTGCACAGCTACCAAGCCCACCAGACTCCATGTGACCTGTCTCTTCCTGTTACACAAGAGTCGGGCTGGGTCATGTCTGAAGCCCTGCATGTGGGGGCAGGTGGTCTGTGGCCCCAGATTTCCCGAGGCCAGGAAGGAAGGGCTGATTCAGGGCCACTGCCCTTCGCTGAAGCCAGAATGAGCATGTGGCCAGATGGCATCGTCATGTCCTCTTACCAATGAAGTCGTTGGACTTTCCAATGTCATAATCCCAAACGGTGACCTCCAGGGTCTTCTTGGCCAGGTCCCCATGCTTAATCTCGTAACAGAACTCCTGGTGGCCAGAAGGGGAGAGTCAGGGCTAATGCCACATGGCCAGGAGGGCGCTGAGGTATGGTGAGGGCATGAGCTGAATGGGGGATGGTGAATGGGAGGGTGGCCGGTGCATGGCGGTAGGCAGTGGTGGATTTGCGTCCAGCTTGTCCATGTAGGCCTGAGAGCCTGGCCGGGTCCTCAAGGTCCTCAGGGTCCTCAGGGTCCCCAGGGTCCCCTTCACTCCAGCCTACCTGCCCCGTGATCACTGAAGTCTCTCTCTCAAGATACCCGAGAGCCTCCTTATTGCCAAATCGACTCACATTTGGCAGCCTCGGTGTACTTGACTTCTCCGGTCTGGCTCTGCTGACCACTCCCTTCCTTGTGGACCCCTCTCCCCCACTGTTCCATGGTGCTCTGACACCTGGCACCCCCTCTCCGGAAGCATCTGTCTCAGCCGCCTGTCTGCCCCTGCGTTGCTCAGGCTCTGCCCGAGGCCCCTGTGCGCCTCGCCTTCTCGCTCCTCACCTTGATCATGCTCCCTGCGTCTCCCCCCAGACCCCCACTCCTGCACTTTCAACTCCACACCCACTGTGGCCACAATCCCGTCAATTCCATCCTCTGAGGTGGTTCTAGGTGTGGCTTTGGGTGGGTGCCACCGTGGCCTGGTTCAGCCTGCCCTGCACCTCTCCCCTGCCCCCCATGGCTAGGGCTCGCCTGTCAGCTTCTGCCCACCCTCTCTCCCCCCTCTCGAAGCTGTGACCCCTGAGAACCCGGCCCCTCTGGGCCCCTGTCCCGGCAGAGGGGGAGAGGATTTCCTGTAGCTTTGCCAGCCCCTGTACCTCGTTGAACTCTGGGTTCAGGGTCTTCTTCTTTACTGCTGTCTTATGTTTGGATTTCTTGTCCACATCTGGCTTCAGGTATCTGGAATTATAAGTGATGGGTAGGCAGGCAGAAGCCGAGGAGAAGCTGTGGGGACAGGTGGAGCCGCAGGGCTTGGAAGAACGGTCTGTCCCTGGAGAGGTACCTACGGGCCTCCCCGTTCACCTGATCATCAGAGTCCCCAGCACTGCTGTGGCAGAGGGCGGTCGGCCACAGGGGAGGAGCACGTGACTCCCTGGTCAGCAGGACTGTCCACGGGCCCTTTCCTGGAGTTAACTGTGGAGTCCTCCGTCCCTCTGGAAAGAGGATGCTCCTTGCTTCTGCAAGTCTAATTTTCACCAAGCTCACATTTGTCACCAGAAAACATTTTTAGCAGAGTTGATCCCTTGTCAGAGCTTTCTTTTTAAAAATAGATCTATTAAGATATAATTCACATACTAGAAACTTCATCTTTCTGAAGTGTGAAATACAGTGGTTTTTCGTATATTCCCAGAGTTGTGCAGCCATTGCTGCTGCCTCCCGGGAGCTCTGTGCAAGGAAAAAGGCCTTTTGGGCAGTAACAATGACACTTCCCAAAGGGAGAGGGGAGCCTGGCTTGTCAGCCGGCTCCTCCGTCGGCCTGAGCTCCTTGGACTGCGATGCAGCCTTGATGTCTTCATGTGAGCTCGGGGAGGCAGAGGGACTTGCCCACGCTCAGCACAGGGCTGGTGTTCTGAAGCCAGGACAGGAGGCTCAGAGCCTCTCATCCTGTCCCTGTGTAGATAATTATCAATGGCTCTGTCTCTGCTGAGGGTACTCCGGGGGTGAGGACCACATCTGTCTCACCTACCACCAGCTTCCTGTCACCCATCTTAGTGCCTGGCACTGGGCAGGCCAATAAACATCTGTTGTCTGAATTACTGAATTCCTAGAAGTAAAATTACCCACCCAAAGCCACGCACAGGTCAAGTTTCTTCCTTCATTTTGCCAAATCGCCCTCCAGAAAGGCCATACAGTTGACACCCAGTGCCCTTGACAAAGTGGAGTACCAGCACCTTAAAATCCTTGCTGGGGGTGTCAGCATCATGGTGGAGTGAGAAGACTTCTTTGTTTCTTCCCTTAAATTTACAGCAAGTCGGACCACTATAACTCAGCAAAGGATCCCTGCTCAACACAAAAGCACAGAACCTCTGAAGGTGGGCACACTGGGATGAGCAGGGGGCAGGACGGGGATGGGGCCACAGTGACTCCAGAGTGTGACAGCGAAGCGAGGTTGGGCTGCAGCTGTCACACTACGGCCTAGAGTGTGCGAGGGACAGAGGCCGTGCTCCCCCAGGAACAGGACCACTCTTCCCCTCCCCATCACGGCAGACCCGGCAGAGGCGGCTGGGAGGCCTTAACCAGCACAGCAGGACCAACAGCCATCGCTGGCAGGGACTGAGCTGGGAAACGCGGACTCGGTCCCTCTACTCCGCCCGTCCCAGCAGAGCCCAGCAGAGGCGGTGGAGAGGCCTTCCCAAAACGGTGGGGGCCCGTGACCCAGAGTAAAAGGGAGGTAGTGCTGGGAGCGCGCAAAACCAGTTCCCCACCGCCCCCCACATCCCCCATCATCCCAGTGGGTACGTGGCATTTCCCTAACCGAAGCAGTGCCGCTCCAGTAATCCCAGAGGCCCAAATCATGCAGGTAAGAGAAAATAAAAACTTGTAACACTGTCTACTGGGAAAAAGAGAAAGTACCCTACCTATTGACCTGCTGAAATTGTCGAGAGCAAAACAGTGTCTAGACAAGAAATGAGTTCACTAACGCAGATATGTGGGCAAACAATCCATCAGATACCGCAAACCACCAAGGTAACGTGGGAGCACAGAAAGAAAAGAAAAAGCCTCCAAAACCTCAAAGCCATGGAAGACCGTGGCTTAAATGGCAGACAAGTTCACCTTGCAGTTGTGAAGAAGCGCAAAGAGGCACATGAGAACTCAAAGGCAGTTCAATGGGCTCAGGAATAAAATCTATGAACAAAAGGAATCCTTTACGAAAGAGAATGAAACTATAAAAAAAGAACCACGTAGCCCTGGCCAGTTTGACTCAGCGGTTAGAGCGTCAGCTGGCAAACCAGAGAGACCTGGGTTCGGTTCCCGCTAAGGGCATGTACCTCAGTTGCAGTTTGTCCCCGGCCCCAGCTGGGGTCATGTGGGTGGCAGCCAGTTGATGTGTCTCTCTCACATCGATGTTTCTCTCTCTCTCCCTCCCTCTCATTCTGTCTGAAGATAAATGCAAAAAATGTCCTCAGGTGAGGATAAAAGAAAAAAAACTACGTAGAAATGCCGGAGCTGCAAAACTCAGTAAAGGAGATAAAGAGGGCATCAGAGAGCACTGGAAACAGAGTAGACCACGTGGAAGAGAGAATTCGAGAGCTCAAAGACAGAAAGCTAGAAATGACTCAGGAGGAAGAAGAGGGAGAACTGAGTTTAGCCAATGAAAGAACTCTACAAGGACTATCTGCCTCCATCAGAAAGAGCAACGTCAAGATAATGGGTATAACGGAAGGCGAAGAGAGGGAGAAGGGACAGAGAGTCTACTGAAATACTGGGTGAGAGCTTCCTAAGCCTATGGAAAGAACTGGACTTTAGAATAGAGGAAGCCAACAGAATATCTGATTATATCCATACAAAAAAACCTTCTCCAAGACACATTTTATTCAAACTCAAAAATTAGTGACCAAGAATTCTCAAGGCAGCCACGGAAGAAAAGACTGTAACCTACAAAGGAAACCCGTTAGATTATCATCACATTTTTTTCAGTAGAAACATTACAAACCAGGAGAGATTAGAAGAAAATATTCAAAATATTGAAAGAGAGGAACCATCAGCCAAGGATATCCAGCAAGGTTATCCTTTAGATCTGAAGAGGAAAGAAAAGCCTTTCCAAACACACAAAAGCTGAGAGAATTCACCACCATGAGACCTGAACAAAGGTTGAAAGAAGCTCTTTCAGTGGAAACACAAAGACAAAAATACACAGAACTTTAATCTTGGCTAGTGTGGCTCAGTGGATTGAGCATCTTCCTGTGCACCAAAAGGTCACTGGTTCGATTCCCAGTCAGGGCATCTGCCTGGGTTGTGGGTTTGATCCCCAGCCAGGGAACATGCGGGAGGCAACTGACGGATGTTTCTCTCTCTCCCTCTCCCTTCTCTCAAAATTCAATAAAAACATTAAAAAAAAAAGTACAGAACTTTGAGTAAAATGACTAACAGACAGAAGGAGGAAATCGCAACTCTACCTCAGAATAGGATTTTATTTTTTAAAATAAGTTTTTATTGGTTTTTTAGAGAGAGAGATAGAAACATCAATGTGAGAGAGAAACATAATCAGCTCCCTCCTGCATACCCCCTACAGGGGATCAAGCCCACAACCTGGGCATGTGCCCTGACTAGGAATCAAACCCAGACCTCTCAGTCCATGGGACCACGCTCAATCCACTGAGCCACACTGGCTAGGCAGAATAGGATTTAAAACAATCATAAAGGTTACAGGGGGAAAGGGGGCATTAAATATAACTATAACTGCTACAATTTGGTAACAAAGGTACAACATGAGATAATTTGTAACAACAAAACCATAAAAGGGGAGGGAGAAAAGGACAATGTGTACAGGTGAATGAAGATAAGTGTCAATGAGAAGAGGGACTATTGTGTGTATAATACACTGTACACTAAGCTAATGATAACCACACAATGAAAATCCAGAGCTGACATGAGAAACAAAAGAGGAAAAAAAAAACCATAGAAAACTGCCAAACTAAAGTAGCAGCTGTAATCGTAAGGGAAAAGAAACAATGGAAATACAGAGCAACCAGAAAACAAAAGATAAAATGGCCATAAAATCCTCATATATCAATAATCACCCTAAATGTAAATGGACTGAACTTACCTATCAAAAACACAAGAGTAGAGAGATGGGTTTAAAAACATGACCAAAGCCCTGGCTGGTTTGGTTCAGTGGTTAGAGCATTGGCCCGAAGACCAAATGGTTGCAGGTTTGATTCTGGTCAAGGGCATGTACAGGGGTTGCAGGTTCAATCCCCGGCCCCGGTCGGGGTCATGCAGGAGGCAACCAATCAATGTGTTTCTCTCTCTTCCCCTCCCTCTCTCTTCCTTCCACTCTATCTAGAATCAATGGGAAAACAAAAGAATCCTCAGGTGAAGATTAACAACAACAAAAAGACCCAACTATATGTTGCCTGCAGGAGACTCAGCTCCCAAGACAAACATAGGCTCAAAGTTAAGGGGTGGAAGATGATCTTTCAAGCAAATGGCTCCAGAAAAAAGTGGGGGTGTAGTAGTACTCCATCAGACAAAATAGATTTCAAGATAAAAGCTAACAAGACAATGATGAAACATTTTATAATGATAAAGGAAACAACTCATCGTTATATTAATAACACTTATTAATAGATATGCACCCAACCTGGGAGCACCAAGATATAGAAAGTAATTTATAACAGACCTAAAGGGAAAACTGACAAAAATACAATTATAGTAAGGGACATGAATATCCCATTGACAGCAATAAATAGATCATCTAGACAAAGTCAATAAGGAAATGTCGGCATTAAGTGACACATTAGACTAAATGGCTTAATTGATATTTATAGAACCTTCCAGTCCAAAACGGCAGAATACACATTCTCCTTAAGTGCACATGGAACATTCTCAAGGATAGACCACATATTGGGGGCACAAAACTAGTCTCAATAAATTTAAAAATGAAATCATACCAAGCATATTTTCCAACCACGATACTGTGAAACAAAAATTAACTACGAGAAGAAAGCTGGAAAAACCACAACATGCTACTTAACAACTACTGGGTCAAAAGAGAAATAAAGGAAGAGGTCAAAAGCTACACAGAGACCAATGAAAATACCGCACACCAGCTTTTTTGTGATGCAGCAAAAGTGATACCGAGAGGGAAGCTGACAGCTGTACAGGTCTACCTAGAGCAGTGGTTCTCGACCTTCCTAATGCCACGACCCTTTAATCCAGTTCCTCATGACCCCAAC